ACCGAATTTGCAGTGTTTTATAAGCAGCCTGCTATTAATGGATGGGATTTTTTGTTTTTCCTAATAGGCATACTTGAGGTGTCACACTCTGCCGGCCGCAAGAGTGTCTTTTTTCTGCTGTGCTGACGCCCCCTTTGTGCTCTTTCGCACCTGCCCTTCTCCGTTGGAGTAGGTCTATTTGCAATCATTTTTGAGCGTTATTGAACTTAGGATGCACATACACTCAGTGTTATTTTTGAGACGGGTGATTTTAACCTTCCATGTCAGTGCTGCTGATGTTCATGCTGAAGCGGTGGTTGTGAAATTTGTAATTTCAGATGCTGGACTGTTGACCATGTTCTGTGTGGTGAGCATGCAGTTAGCACATTGGTCGGTGTTTCGATCCTCATCTTCGTCACATGCGTTGTGGCCATTGTCCTCAATCCTCGATGGCGCCGTCTTCCTTTGCCTGAAGAAGAATCACTGCATCATCTTACTAATACGGATTAGAACTTCTCGAGAATTTGGCTTGATGGCTCTATTCTAAGAAATGTAAAAGTGATCTCGGTCTCCGCTTTTCTTTCCTGCATAATTTTCCCCTTGTTATCGTACAACTCTGTTCTTATTTTCAGCAGTCCTATTCTATTAAAAGGTTTGCTGTCTGTCTCATTTTTCATACCTTAATCCCTTGATTTTTTTATGTCTAAAGTGATTGTTTATAACTGGCGAGTAGTTATTTGAGTTTCTGTGTACGACCTAATGGTAGGTTAAATATGAATCGTAATAATTCTAAAAATCAGCTGTACTTTCCATAGCCATGGATAGATAAGGCCATACTCTCAGCTTGTTGAACACTTTTGTTGATTTTCGAACTACTCAGACCGCTCGGACTATCAGCGTAGGATTCTGCTGTATGTGATTTTACTAGAATGCTCCTACACGCCGAGCAGAGTGCGTGGAGCTGATGAGAGCTGTAGGTAAACAGAACCCTCTTTGCATTTTGCTGTGTCGTAAAGACACTTCTACTGTTGCATCCACATGTGCTATTTGCCAGCAGGACTGTCGGCGCCATTTTCGATGATTACTTTAAAAGCAAGCTACAAGCTCCTAATGGATGGAGTGGGGCGAAATTAGCTGTAGTAGGTAGTTGCGAGGTTTACTGATTTACTGATCATTTACTGATCATTTACTGATCACTTTGGTTTACTGATCATTGGGACACGTTGCGAAACCACTTTTGTATTAGTCCAATTTACCAAAT